CTGATCCCAGTATGGATCAGTACAGAAACTTAGGCTTTCTCCATTTCTGAACTGTATTGGTTCATCTCTCTACAGGCAGACTGTGGCCTCATTTGTCTATGGACTCACTGCATTGGTGCTAGACTTAGTGGAGATACCTGACAGCTTTAGCCTTATTGCAACTCAGAACTTCTGAGCTCAAGTGATCTATTAGCCTCAGCCTCCCCAGAAGCAGACATTGCAGGTATGTGTCAACATGCCCAACAAAAAAGGAAGTTGAAAAGATTCTTAGTTTATAATTTATAGTTTATCCCCTTACAAGGTCAAGAAAAGATCTCTTGTGCTAGGAAGATCAATGTGCTGGGAAGATGTCTAGCACATTAAATAAACTCCCTAAAGGAAGATATGGACAAGAGTTTCATATGATGGGGAGGTATGGTTGGGTTCTGAGCTTCATAGTTGGAAGGAACTCCCATATCAAGATCACAGATCTATTTGAGTATTTCAGTTCTTATTTAATAAGTCATTTAATTTATAGTTTCATGGACTCTAGAGATGCATGGGGTATATAATATTGTCTAGACCAGAAATGTATTTTACAAATGAGGAAACTGAGTTCCAGAGAGTTTAGGTGATTTGTTCAAGGTCACAAAGCTAGTAAGCAGCAGATCCAGGGTTCACACCCAGTTCATCTGATGCTATATCCATTGTTGTATCTACTTCATGTTCCTTGGATCTACAACTTTAGTTTTGCCTTGAAAAGTTTCAAAATCAATAATTCTGTACTTGTTTCTGGATAAAAATTTCCTTTATTTAAAAATAATTATTAAACAGTTTCAAGTATATGAACTGATTAACACTACACTTATTTCCTTTGCACACATGCTTGTGGGACAAAAATCTGTTTTGACAGTTTGGGCCATATTTAGACATAATTTTAAGTCTATTATAATTATCATGAAGTGTCTTATTCAGTTAATGTATGGTTTGAAGGCTAAATATTCTAATCTCTAAATTGAAAACTACTGATTACATTAAAGAACCAAAGTAACAAGAGGGGATTTAATTCTTAAGTGATTTTTAATGAAATTTAGTATGTACTTAGTAAATGTGAAAAAAACATGAAATTAAGATCATTTTATGATATAGTTTGTATGATTTAAATCTAGTCTTTTTAATTAAAAAAAAAATCCTGGGATTTTCTTATGTTCTGGTTATTTGAGACTACTAGTAAGAGTGAATGCCTCTTTTCATTCCAGCACACAATTTCATATCCAGTCGTTAAAAACAATCAAGACATCTTATATAGCCATTGTTAGATGGCTAAAGTTGGTAGAAAGTTATGTTGCAGAAAAATCTGTCTCCTTGTAACTTCCTCTCTCTCTCTCTCTCTCTCTCTCTCTCTCTCTCTGTGTATGTATATATATATATATATATATATATATATATATATATATATATTTTAGTGGTATATATTTTCAAATATGTTAGTTTGTCCATGACATATACAGTTTTCAGTGGCCAACTTGGTATCCAGTACCAGATGGAAATGGAATAGAAAAAAAAAATAACCCCAACAAAGGAATTATTGCTTTTCAAACTTAAGCATATTAGCAAATCAACAAACTCACTCAGGGAAGGTCTGCTTTTCTCTTTCTTTCTGTGTCTCTCTGTCTCTCTCTCTCTCTCTCTGTCTCTGTCTCCCTCTGTATATATACAGAGAGGTCTATGTGTATATGTGTATATTTATGTATATATATATATTTATTTAAAAAGGTCAGGGGTAAGGAGTGTATATTCTATCGGCCATTCAAAAACCAGAGCACAGGAGAGTGAGGCCCATTATGAATTTTATATCTTTCTCTCAGCGTTGCATATCACCTATCTAAAAGCTTTGCTGATACGAACACATACAAAGTTTTGCTGTTATTTAAATATATAAAACTATATATGCATATATATGTCTTATGTATATGCATTATATATATACATATACATATATGGGATCTCCTTATACTAGTGAAATATGTATGTGTAACATACATATACACACATACATACACACACACAGAAACACACACAAGATGGGGGGAGCCATTGGACTCTTAGAGCTGGAGATGACTCTGAAGATGATCTAATACAACCCTCTTCTCTTACACATAAAAAAACTAAGATTCAAATTGGTTCAGTGACCTATCTGAGATCATTTTAAGTTAGGTAGTAGCAGAGTTGGGATTTGAAGCCAGAGACCATAACTTCAAATACAAGGTACTTATCATCAAACTATGTTGCCATATTAAGTTAAGAAGTAGGAGAGTAAGTACAATAGTACTAACCCTAGGATGCATGCTAAAAAATCATTCTTTAAAATTTAGATTCTTATCAAATCCTTATTTTCTTCTAATTTATGCATTTTCCCTAAAAGTAGAGAGCAACTGTAATTCTGACTAATTGAATCTTCTTGTTAGTTAACTTCAGGGTGATGGAAATTTTACATTGCATCTATTTTTAAGTGATGAAAGACATTGATAAATGTCTTAGCTGTTAAGATTAGAAAAATCAATACCTAAAAAACCCTGATTTAAAAAGAAACACATGCCCGAAGTGGACAATTAGAGTAATAATACAGATAAAACCCCATGTAACGTACAAAGCATCAGTTAGCAGCAAAATACACTAATTGTTTTCAAACAAAAAGAAAGATAAACTAAATATTTTATATAATATACATTATTCCTATGTTACAAAAATACAGGTGATGATAGACTTAAATTGTGTGCCTAAAAACATCAGTATTGCAAGACAGAGAAACTTAATTATCATAAGACTTTCTGTAAATTGGTTTCATCCTCCCTCATTTCTAAGGTTATCTCCAAACAGTCTCACCTAAGAAACAACAAGGGAAAAACAGATCATGACTTATCAATACCTAGATCTTTGATTAGTTTCTAAAAAACTATGAAAAAAAAGCACCAGAGTTCACAAACATGACTGAAGATGACAACTTAATTCCCCATTTTCTATCAACCTAGACAATTTAATGCATCTGTGTTGCTTTATTTTTATAATGGAGATTATAGAATCCACAGAATAATAAAAATTGTCATAAGTTTATATGTATATTAAAAAATTGGAAAATGCTATGCAAGTGCATGATAAAGCATTATCTTACTAAAAAGACAGGAAATCTCTTCTTTAAATTCACCTCAGCTAGATGATACATGTAAATGCATGCTATTTAGAAAACAAATGTTACCTTAAGATTCATTAGACCCTTGTAAAAATGCATGTGCATATCATCCAAAAGAGGTTTAAATGCTTTACCATGGCAACAACAGCTCCCAGATACTGAGCATCTGCTGTCTACTCACAGAAGAAATGAGTGGAGTTGGATGACCAAGAGACAAGTATGTAAAGATAGGAAATAAATGGCTTTAGGTTGAATATTTTCTGCTTCTTTTATCTTAAGAATAAAAATCTTAGGAAAGGAATATGGAATAGACATTGTAGCAAAGATACACACAAGAATAAAGGAGTTAAAACACTTTCTCTGCTCTCTTGGTTCCCAAGGCCATTGTGCTCTATATGCAAGAAGGTAAAAATGTAGGGCTGTTACGTAAGACTTCATTTTGACTCCCCCATTCCCAGCTTGCAAAAATTGCTTATTATCACAGATACCTAGAAAATGTGATACTAACATGTTCTGAAGTAGATTAGTTAGACTTCAGAGACTCAGAATCTGAAAGGATCTATTGATGGGGGGGAGGCACATGACCTTTGGTGTGAGAAACAATTAATGAAATTAAGATTATTGATTTTCAAATGCAAAAATGAATAGAATAGATTAGCTAGCATTTATTATAGTGTTTTGAGATTTGCAAAATACAAATGTTAGCTCACTTCATGTTCACAAAAGCCCTATGAGGTAGATGCTATGATTATTCAAGAGATAACTGAGGCAGTAGAGGTTAAGTGATTTGCAGTGATCACATAGCTAGTGTCTGAGGCTAGATTTTTAGATTCAGGTCTTCCTGACTCCAGGTCCTATGCATTGACCACCTAGATATGATCTATTTTATTTTAGTAGGGACAGATGTTAACCTTAAATATTACATAATAAATCCAGTCTAGGAACAGAGAAGTATTATTGTTAAAAACTGACAAATAATAATTGATAAAGAATGAATTTTGAAAAGTAATGGTGGAGTGATCTTTTTCTGAAAAACAGGTGGTCAAAATAAATGTCAATATGATTTATAGCTTTAACCTAATATTAAGCATGTAAAAATTCTGAAGGTGTTTAGAGCATTCAGGCTGCGTTGATATGATGTCAAAATATTTGGTCAAACTAATCACATGTATCATGTATTCTATCAAAAAACAGCCAAACCACCTGTCCATTGTTGATTGTATAGTTAATTGACTGAATTTTTTGCTTTTCATTTGGTTGTTTTGACTTCATGCAGATAATCATAGGTTTCCTACAAACCTTGCACCCTACAAATGAAAAAAAAATCAATGTCTTAAATTACTTGCTTGTCAAAATTAAACAGAAAAGGTAAATCAATAAATCTTATAATCCTAGCCAAAAAAATCCATAGGTTCATAAATTCATGGATTTAGAGTTGCAAGGGACTGCAGAGTCACCTTGTTCTACCCTTTCATTTTACAGATGAAAAGACTTTGTCCCATAGAGGTTACACAAGTAGTAAGTAACAGTACAACATTGAAACCTAGGTTATTTGGCTCCAAACTACAAATCTAGTGGTCTGTTCACTGCACCATACTGTCTCCTTGGCCATTTCCATTTATTTGCCTTAGAAAAATGGATACCAAACAACAGGTTGACTTTCTCTTAACTTAAGTCTCCTCTTCCTGTTTAGGAGGAAGAAGGATAATATACAATATTACAATTTATGGACAGCCAAAGACTTTAAGGACTATGTTAAAGTAATTTTTTTCTTTTGTTTCCTTTAAGGAATGTTAATGTCAAAAATTGTAAGATGCCAAAATATCCTTACTTTCTTCAGAGAGGTCGTTTTCTTCTGCTTCTCTTTCCATCTCTTTACACCATCCTTCCATCCTCTTTGTCTCTGTGTGCAGTAGCTTCATAAACCATGTTCCATCCCGTCGACAAGGTGACATCCTGCCAGTTTCTACTGTCTCAATAGATGGCTCTAGCCAAGGGTCAGGTGGGGGAAGGTTTGAGGTGTCAACTTGGGTCCTATAATCTTCTCGGTAACTGAAAAGTCCTTGTGTCCGTACAGTTCTTACTGCGCCATATTGGGTAGGAGTGCTAGGTTCTGAATGTCGCTGAAATGATGAACCAAACTGAAGACCCTTGTCCTCCATAGTAATGTGTCCAGGAAAGCCCTCCAGTTCTAGGTCAGCCTGAACTGCAGCTGTTACACTATTCGAACGTTTAAACCGACCATGTCTGGAAAACAAAAAGGAGAAATGGCAGAAAGTTTGACCCAAACTACTGTGCCATATTCCCCAGTCATCATAAATGTGCATAGCTCTGAATAAGAATTCCTAAGTATTACAAAATGAATATGCCTATGCTCCAGAGACTTAACCATGCATGGGTAAAATTTTGTTTTTATCAATTGAATGTGCTCTACTTAGACTCTTCTTATCAGTTTGATTTGTGAGAGAAAAGCATGTCCTTCTAATCCCCTAATTGCCAAGCATGCTTAAATTTCACTTTCTTAACTAGAATATATACATTTAAAAGCCTACTAAATAATACTAGAATTGAACTACTGCTTGTTCTTTCATTTCAAATACCCACCTTTCAATTGGAAACAAGTGAAGAGTTTATTAAATTTCCTTTACATGGAAATAACATGAAGGATTTTACATACAAAAATGGTGATGAACTAGAAAGGAACTTTGAAGTCATCTACATCTCCCTCTGGGGGAGCTAAGTGGAACAGTGGATAGAGTGCTGCGCCTGGTGTTAGGAAGACCTGAGTTCAAATCCAGCCTCAGACACTTGCTAACCATGTGACCCTGGGCAAGTCACTGAACCTCTGTTTGCCTTAATCCACTAGAGAATGAAATGGCAAACTACTCCAGTATCTTTGCCAAGAAAACTCCATAAACAGTATTGATGTACTGTGGTCCACAGGGTCACAAAGATTTGGACATGACTGAACAAAACAGTAACATACCAACCTCCTTATTTTATAGCTAGGGAAACTGAGGCCCACAGAAGTTAAGTAATCTTTCTAATGTCACTTAGGAGTAAATCATAGAGCTAAAATTCAAAACCAAGTCCTTTGACTTCATATTCAATATTCTTTCCACTATACTACATAGCCTCTGATGCCTTAAAATATGATTGGCTCACACTATATTTTTGTCCACAACAAACATAATTTTTAGTATACATTTCTCCTACAGCCCATTGATTTATTTTCAGCATGGTGATCAAAGAATTAATTAGTTCATGAAAAAAAAGAACATTCTGACTCCATATTCCTGTAAATAATTTTAAACCTTTTCATTGCAGCTGTTTTGAGTGAAAGATGTTTTCCTATGCAAATGTTGAAGTGATTTGTGGGAAATGGATTGAAGTTGAGTCTTAGACAAATATGTAGCACATATTATTGATCGTGTCTACAGGACTCTGAGTGTACTTGTAGGAAAGGGACTCAGTGAGTGTGTGTGTGTGTGTGTGTGTGTGTGTGTGTGTGTGTTTTAGTGCACCCACAATTTAGTACTACAGTGAAACACTGACTTCACACAACTGGTACACAAAGGATTAACAGCTATGGGTACATTTGGTTAACTTGCAGGCTGTTTTTTCCTTTGCTTGCCTATATAAAGGCAAAGGGCTTGACAATGAGCCCTTTCAATACAGGTATTGAACACAACATGCTCAATTTTTCTAGGGGTGAAGAGTGAACATTTGTTTAAGCAACCTCATATGAAAAAGTATTTGGGCATCAATTGATTTGTGGGTTGGTAACAGAAATCCTATAAGGTGGGATTATAGAAATCATTAAAAAAATTCAGGGCAAAAACTAACCTAAGGAATTATCTAGTCTAATCCTTTCATTTTATAGATGAAGAATGAAGTTTAAAGAGGTTAAATGATTTGGTTTGGGTTATAGAGCTGATAACTGGTGGACCCAGGATAATCTACCGGGAGTAAGAGTGGATACTAATTTATTCATTATTTTTTGATTTTCAAGATTTATTCTTTTGCTTTGTATTTTACATAAAACAACATTTATCTTGGTGTTTTCTTTTTAAAAGTATATGCTAACCTTTTATTTTTCCTCTGGTATGCTAAATATATCACCATAATTGGTATTTTTTGAATTGTATCTTCATATACTTTTTTTCACAGCCCAAAAGAGCTGCTTCAGACTGTGATTTGGGTTTGGGCTTCTTTTCAGCCCTAATTCCTTCCCATTTGACAAGGTCAAGCCTGAATATTTTCAGTATCAATGGGCTCTTGGCTTATCCCTTCTCTTTGGCTAGAGGACTTTGGCATATAGAATTGTCAGTTCCTTGAATGTTAAATTACCTTAGGAAGAATAATTTCCCTGCCTCCTGAAGAAACAGTAGTTGGGCAAGGGCAAATGTTAATTCATATTTGAATGGTGTAAATTGAGTAGCATAAATATGAAAACAAACAGCACGCATTATTGATGGTCACTATGATCTAGAGGCTTACAAACAGGTTCATAACAAATAGTTCTTGTTTCAGAAACATAACATAGTTTTGTTTTGTTTTTTGGTTCAGTTACCGTTTTTCATCTTCCACTTGCACTCCAACAGAGTGATATTCCCGTAGGCCTCTGCTCTCTGTATCAGAATCAGTTGCTGTTTCCACCTAATTCAATACAAAAGATGTGAATGTAGAACTGAACATGAAAAAGCTAATTTTTTTGTTCATTTACTGTAATTAATTATATATTCATTTAATTAATTCAGTGAAGCACTTGACCCAATAAAATCACACAGAAAGAAAAAATTCCACTCACATGGGTATAATAATTTTGCTCCTGTGTTTCACAGAATTTTACATAAACATTTTAGCTCTACAATTCTGTCTTTTAAATATATGCAAATGAAATTACTTGGTTCAGTACAGTCAAGAAGAAGCTTTGTTTGAATTGCATTATTATAAAAATCCACTGTTCAGTTTTTTTAATAACATGAATGCCAAAATCTCTTAGTATGTTCTAAGATGATAGGAGTCATATACAGGGTGTGAACAACATGTGCTAATAGCATGTAACTAAAATGCAATTAATAATAAGCAATAAGTGATTTGATGAACTTCTACTGACATAACAAACAGAAAAATACTTTATTAAATATCCTAAAGTATTATCTGTGTATATAATATATAAATATGAGATATGTCCATATAATCTATGTATATATGAGATATATCCATGTATGTAATATATATACATGCATATATTTATGAGAGGCATCTATATACATGTATACATATGCATATGTGTATATACACATGTGTATGTGGATGATCTCATCCATATGCACGTACATGTACATATTTGTATATACATAGAATTCAAGGGTGGAAAATTTGTGGCCTCAAGACCACATGTGGCCTCTAAGTCCTCGAGTGTGGCCCTTTGACTGAATCCAAACTTCACAGAACAGATCCCTTTAATAAAAGGATTTGTTCTGTAAAACTTGGACTCAGTCAAGAGACCACACCCAAGGACTTAGAAGGCCACATGTGGCCTTGAGGCTGCAGGTTCCACCTCTGACATACGTAGCTCACATTTCATTGCCTTTGCTAAGAGGATAGTCTCTATCACCTATTCAATGGCCAATCATGAGGGAATTAGGGTCAATCATCAGAGCTGTGACTGCTAAAATAAATACAGAAACACTGTCAGGATGATCACCAGTGTGCGTTTATCACATAAGGAAATTTTAGTAGTGTTATTTTGTGTCTGAACTTGGAACTTCATTGGTGTCAGAAGCTCCCTGGTAAAGGATCTTCCCCTAACAGTGTACTAATTACACAATGTCATAACTCTGCTATAAGTTATACTTTGTTCTTTAAACAAATGACCACCAGAAAGATAAAGTAAAGAACCTGGACCAAATTGGTCTGTCTTTCTTGAGTGAAGGGAAGAAAGTGTAACCTGAAAATATTCAATATAATGGTCAATTGGAACTTATACTTGAGGATAGCTATATGACCACTCTAGTATTGAATTCATGGGTTTATTGCACCCTGGCATATGAAATAATAACACATATGCATAGTTTTTTAAGGTTTACAAAATGCCTTCCTCCCAAACAACACTGTTAGAAGTCACTAGTATAAATATGTATGTAGATATTGTGATCCATGTCATGATTTATGTAGTATGGGGAAATCCCTATATTTATATTTATATGAAGAAAAATGTGAACCCAGGTCTTTTTGACTCTAAGGTTGGCCTATCCTCTATGCTCTACTGCCTCTCAGTGCAAATATTGTTATCTCCATATCACAGATGAGGAACTTGAAATAATGTCCCAGATGGGATTAGAACCCAAGTCTTTGTGACTTCAAGTCTTTCTACTATAGCACAATGTTTCTCAAGACTGCTATGTGGTTGCCAGGGATGCCTACTTTTGGACTGCCAACATTTGATAAGCTGTGTAGCCTGGCTATAGCTAATCGCATATAACAAATATTTTCTTTGGTGCAGTTACATATTGGTACATGTAGACTTGTCTAACTCAGAATCACTTAAAAACAAAGAAGAAAAAGAAAAGGAAAATTCTGTTGAATAACCAAAGACCAAGAACAAAGATTCCTGAGTTTTAGTTTTATTTCCAATGTTGATTCTCCCATGTGTATTTCTCCATTAGTTAAGTGGGTGATAATATTAGATTTTTTCCATATATCATGGGAAATTATTTAATTAGACTATTATTTAAATAGTTTAACTATTTACCATTCTGCAAATGGTCAGACCATCACTTAGCAGTAGTGTCTGAATGGAATATGTAATTCAACTTCAAGTTTATATATTTTTCTAGCTCAGTAACTTTCACATAGTTCATGTTTATTAAATGAAAGAACAGTTAAAGTTGCCCCTGAATGTACCAATTGCAATTAAAGGGAGATAAATGCAAAAAGGTACTGTTCTTAATATTTACTAAGTATCTATTAACATGCTGGACACGTGGGTAACAAGCACATATCATAATCTATCCCTGTGGCTCCTCCCATTGTCAACCCTGAAAGAGCTTATATATATATATATATTTTTTTTGGCAAGAATTGTGTATCACAAAAATAGCATATGGTCAAAGCCCTGGCTCTGCCAGTGGCTCTGCCACTCACTAACTCTATGACTAATAGACAAGTCACTTAGCCATTCTAAGAATCAGTTTTCTCATCTGTAAATTGGAGACTATACTACCTATTCTGCCTGTCTCAAAGGGTTTGTAATAGGTCATTTGAGACAAGGTATAAAAAACACTTTCTAAAAGCAATAATAAGATCAGCTTACATTTACACAACAATTTACAAAGGTGATTGCTGTGGTTCTCACCATCATTACCTCAGCTATTAGTGTTCTCTTCTTTCTATAATACTTGAGAGCTTTTGGACTGAGCTCTATTTTGCCTCTTTTACTGTCTACCCTGTATTACATTCAACTATGGTCATGTTGTATTCTCCCAGTGGAATATAAACCTCTTAAAGGCAGGGCCTGGTTTGGTATTTGTGTTTATAATCCTTGCACCTAACAGAGTTCCTTGGATATAGTAGACATAATGACTATTATACTGAATAATTATGGGATTGAATTATAGATATCATATTTGATAAGTAAAGTACTCCAAATGTGAATTACCATTATTATTGTAATTATTCTTATTCTGTTGATGCTGAGTCAAGGAGTAGCATTGTATATGAAGAATTACAGCTGAGGGTTAATCAAAGGGCTATGGAGAAGTGTATGGTTGGAAGGGGTAGGCTGCAACAGAAATAGCATGACAGATGTCATCATGAGAAATGTAAGACTATAGGTATTTTGTGAGCAAAGGATTACTGAAACTGCATGGGTATCATTGGTATTTTTATAATGTCATGAGCATTAGGTGAAATTCTCTAGCATAGGGATTCCAAGTGGAAGATATATGGGGAGACATGGATAAAAGTCCACCCAGAGGGCATGGAAGAGTAATCTTCCCTATTAGAGCGCTATTCACAAGGCTGAGATCACAGAATCATCAGACAGTAAAACTACTATTAATAATAATGATTATTCTCTATTATTATTTTTTTTTTTTAGGATTTTTTCCAGTTGAACACAAAAAAAACAAGGGCAACTGCAAGGTGGTGCTTTTAAGGATGAAGCTTCCAAACTGCATATAAAAATGAAAGATTGTAAGCTATAGATTTGATACAAGAAAGGTATATCAGACTCAATATCCCTCGAGGACATTGGTCCAATGTGATATTTTGGCCACACACACACACACACACACACACACACACACACACACACA